AGCCAGAAGGTAGGCTGAGACCAGATGGGGATGGGGCTTAAATTTCAGGCCAAAGACTGCAGATTTTCTCCCTATAGGTGATAGAAAGCTATTGAATGTTTTGTTTGTTTGTTTATTGTTTTTTTATTATTATGAAGTCAAATACACATAGATCATGAATACATTCATGCATATGTGGGGTACAATGTGCTGATTTTTTTTTTATACAGTCTGATGTGATTAGATCAAACTAATCAACATAGCTTTCACTTCAGTTACTTTTGTTTAGTGTTCTTGAGAAAGTCTCACTCTATCACCCTCGGTAGGGTGTCATCATGTGTCATAGCTCACAGCAACCTCAAATCCTTGGGTTCAATTGATCCTCTCACCTCAGCTTCTTGAGTGGCTGGGACTACAGGTACCTGCCACAATGCCCAGCTATTTTTAGAGACGGGGTCTCAGTCTTGCTCAGTCTGGCCTCAAACTCCTGAGCTCAAGCAATCTATCTGCCTAGGCCTCCCAGAGTGCTAGGATTACAGGTGTGAGCCACTGTGGCAGCCTAGGAAGCTATTGGATGTTTTTGAGCTGAAGCATTACATGATCAGGATCTGCCCACCCTTGTAAGAAGAATTCTAACTTCCCACAGAGGGGCTAAGGGGATTCTACTTTTTCTGCCTCTATTTTTCTCTCTTTCTCTCTTATTTGAGAGACAGTCTCACTATGTGGCCCTTGGTAGAGTGCCGTGGTGTCACATCTTACAGCAACCTCAAACTCTTGGACTTAAAGACTTAAGCGATTCTCTTGCCTCAGCCTCCCAAGTAGCTGGGACTATAGTTGCCCACCTGCCACAACACTTGGCTATTTTTTTTGTTGTAGTTGTCATTGTTGTTCGGCAGGCCTGGGCCGGATTCAAAGCCACCAACCCCGGTGTATGTGGCTGGCAGCCTAGCTGCTGAGCTACAGGCGCCGAGCCAAGCCTCTGCCTTTCTCCATGGCTGCCAACCAGCCAGCCCTTTTGCCCAGCTCCCAGTTACTACCCTTGCTCATTATTATTTTTTTTTTTTTGAGTCAGAGCCTCAAGCTGTTGCCCTGGGTAGAGTGCAATGGCATCACAGTTCATAGCAACCTCCAACTCCTCAAGTGTTCTCCTGCCTCAAGTGTTCTCCTGGCTCAAGTGTTCTCCTGCCTCTGCCTCCTAAGTAGCTGGGACTACAGGCACCTACCACCACGCCTGGCTATTTTTTGGTTGCAGCTGTCATTGTTGTTTGGTGGGCCCAGGCTAGATTCCAACCTGCCAGCTCAGGTGTATGTGGCTGGCGCCTTAGCTACTTGAGCCACAGGCGCCGAACCCCCTTGCTCATTTTTTGTCCCAAGTCCCTAATTCCTTGTTGCAAGCACTTTGACAATGTAGGGGGCTTAAACTCCACTCGACCTTCATCCCAATCCTGCATGTCCCAGATACTTTCTGGGTCCTTCCACCACTATTGCACAACCAGGGCCAGTCAGGGGACAGGAAGGAAGCTATACTTCATTTCATCATGGACCTTTGGGTTTCAAGTCCCCTGCTATGTCTTCCCGCCTGACCTAGATTTCTGTTGTCCTCCCAAACTGAGGGGCTTCTGGAAGCTTGAATTCCAGGGAGACATTTCTCTAACTCACTCAGCCATGGCTTATCTTCTTCCTTCTCAGAAGAAGGCTAAGGACCAGGAGGCATAAAAAAGGACATAGTCTTTGCCCTCTGGGAGCTTCCAAGCACTAGAGAAGATAAGAGAACAACCCCATGGAAGCAGGCCATGGGGCAATAAGCGCTAAGGAAGTTAAGAGGAACAAGGCAGTGATGGGCTGATAAGAGAAGACCTCACAAAGGAGCAGCTTCTGTGCTGGCAGGAGCCTGAAGGATGATAGGCTTTCCTGAGGCAGGGCTGGGGTGGCAGGGATACAGCCAGAGCAGGAAGGCTAGACATGTTTGGTGAATATCAAGTCCATCTGGGGGGGCTGGGCTGGGCCATAGGATTTGTGTAAGAACCATTGGGAAGCAAGACTGCACAAGTGATGAAGGCCAAGTGAGAGGATCTTGGGTGTCACAGTTAGCACTGAGGAACCTCTGTCCAGTGTTGCAGATAAGAAGTGCCAAGATAGAGTGGCATTTCAGGATGCTTAACCTGTCCTTGGTTAGGTGCTGACCAGCTTAGGTGGGTGGGCACAGAAGTGGCCAAAAGCCCATGGGGAGATGTAAAAATCAATCTAGACAAGAAGTAATTCCTATCAGCAAAAGTTGGCACATCCCCCGAATTTTCATAGACTAGTATCCATTTCCACTTCATTCATTAAACAAGTACTTATGAAATATTTGCTAAGGACTAGGCACTATTTTAGGCTCCTTCTTCATCCTACCTCCCCTGCCTCTAGGATGCGAAGAGCAAAGTAGACTGTCACCCACACACCTGGGGGATGTTACCCCAGCCGCCCCCTCTCCACCCAAGCTAATCCAATAGCTTCCACCTTTGGAGCAGGCATATAGAGAAAAATCAGAGAGCTACAGACACTAAGAATTTGGGGGACAGGATGAGACGGGAAAGTTTGGGGTGAGAGGGAGAGTATCTTGGGCCCTAGAAAGCAGTTGGTGGGTGGGAAAAGGAAAGTGGACAGCTGAGTGTGTCTGGGAGACCTGGGATGTTTGGGGGGAGGAAGTCTGGGAGAGGAGAAGAAAGATGGAAGGAAGAAGAGCAGGAGACAGACTTCTGGGGCTGGAACTGGGGGCCACAGGGAGGGAGAAATTAGAGAGCTGGAGAAGGAAGTAGAGTCTTAGCAGCTAGGGGTTGGGGGAGTAGGTGGGGGACTGAGAGGCGAGGGCAGAGGAAATGGGCCCAGGCACTGGAGACAAAAGTCTGGGAGTCTGAGCCTCTGAGGAGCCACCTGGAAGGTGCAGGCAGCGGCAACATCAAACTGGAGATCCCAGGGTTGGCTCTGGGAGTGAGCTGGGGAGGGGGGTTGCGGCTCCAAGGGGAGCTGAGAGCAAAACAGAGGGGCTTGACTCTACCCTTAACCCTGCTGGGTCTTAAGCTTCTTCAGCCCCCTCCCCTCTCTGCCTCTGAAGGCCAGAAGCCAGGACTCCAGAGCCCACCTCCACTCTAGCTATAGGCCAGCGGTGCCCGCCCCTGGCTGTCCCACCTCCTCTTTCCCCTCTATCATTGGTGGTGGGAAAGCACATTGTTCGGAGGTGCGAATGGGAAAGGGGGTCTCCTGCTGTGTAGGGTCTTGGTTGTGGCCATTGCTTCCCTCCCCACAAACCAGACAGGGGCTCCACATACCCTTGACTGATCCAAAGGCCAGGGAAGGTGAGTGGACCTGGGGGCCCAGGCCAAAGACTGGGCCTTTTTTCTCTCCCAAACTCCCCCTACCCACCCCAAGGTTCTCCCATCTTTTGGACTGGACCTGCTACCTAAGCATATGGAACCGATTGAAAGAATTTGTATGCTCACCTTATAATTTATGCAAATCAACTCTGTAATTAACTATAATTTGGAGGCATCCTTTGGTATTTGAGACATTTATCCATGAGGAAATGCCCTAGTGATAATGCTCCTGTATTAACATTATTTACTCCACCTGTGTGGTCTCCTCAGCTTGTTTCTCCCCTTCACTCTGATTTTCTGGGCTAGAAGGTTGGGAGGGACAGGGAAGCCCCTCCCTGGAGCCTGCCTCAGTCCTGACGCCTGGGTTCCCCCAGCCAGTGGCACCGGCCTTGTCCTCCTACTTTTGCCTGGGATCGAAGGAAGGGGTGCAGCTCTGCCTCCTAAACTCCCCACCAATCCATTCTCTTCTGCTTAATGGGTGGCTGTCTGCGAAGCTTTTACCTCTTAAGGGCCTCAATGTTCTCATCTCTGAAATGGGGAGAGGAAGGACCTGTTGGGGCCTTTATGGGATAATTGCAGGAAAGCTAATAAAGAGACTGGGAATCCCCCATCCAGAGATTGCTGGGGGTGTAGGGGGAGGAGCAGGAGAAAAGTTAGGGGTGAAAACTCCAGGGGAGGGAGGGAGGTAACGTGCAAGCCTTGAGAGGTCCGGGCTCTGTGTGCATAGAGGGGATACACAGCAACTCTGACCTCAGTGCCAAGGGCTCTGGCAGAGAATGGGATGCAGTCCCCTGAAAAGTCCCTAGCCACTCTCCTATGTGGGTCAGAATCCCCAGCTTCAGAAAGCCTTGGGAGACTGGCATTATTGTTTCATCTTCTTTCCCCTTCCTGGTCTTTTGTCCCTCTCTGCTCCAGGACATGCTTCTGTTAGCCAATATGCTGAGACTTACAGCCAACCTAAAATTAGGCTCATGTAAATAGTTGGGGGTGTGGGGGCTCCACCTATATTTACCCCCAGGCCCCTTCTGCCTTTTCCAGGTCACCTTCCCAGCCTCTTCCCTCTCCTGGAGTTTCAGGAGTTCTGAATTATCTATAAGCATTCTTGGCTAGACTCTGCCTCTGATCTAAGGTGGCCACTGGTCCATCCCAAGCTGCCCCCCACCCCATTCTAAGTCAGGGAAAGGGTCTTCCCTTTACTTTTGACAAAGAGAGATTCCAGGTCCAGAAAGCCAGATTACCCTGTACCCTCCTGGGAGATCTAAGTTGGGAAAGGAGTGTGTGAAAAGGTGGTGAAAAGGGAGAGGGAGGGATGAGGCTCCAGACAGGCAGGAGAGACCAACTCTGATGTGGAGCTCTGCAGAGCAGGACTGACTTGAAGCTTCTCAATGTGTGTGTGTGTGTGTGTGTGTTTCAACTCTTAAAAGTAGAACTTTCTTTCCCACCCAAGTCCATGGAGGAAACTTCTGAAGGAGGGGGATGGAATTTGGCGCATTCTGGCCATCCCAGCTCTCTCCCCTAGCAATGCCTTCATTTCCTCCATCCCACAAGAACCATTTTGTCCCTCTCCCACTGCCCAGCCAACTCTGGGGAAGGAAGGAAGTCCCCCCACCTCTGAGCCCAATTGCCTCTTCCAGCTGAAATCCTCCTTTCCTGGCAGACCTCACGGACTCAGATCTCACCCCCTACTACTCCCCCAGAAGAGCTGGGGGCCACTGTTTCCTGGATTATCCTAAAAGCTTCTGAGGCCGTGAGGACTTGGCAGCATCCCTGCTGGTTCTTTCACCTCCCCCTTTGGTTCTGCCTGTCACCTCCTTTATAAAGGCTGGCTCTTTTATCACTGCCACTTGTCCCGACAGCCGCTGCCAGCTCTGGGCTCCATGGACTGGTAAGAGAGGCTGTTCCCTGTCAAATGCAGGGGATCTCCGCAAAGAGGAGCTGGTCTCCACTCTAAAGTGAAGACCAGAGAGAAGTCTCGAAGGCATGATTCTTCTCTGAATTGGGGAAGAGGAGATAAGAGGGAGATCTTGGTGGGGTCTGTATGAAGAACCAAAAGGATTCCTTGGAGGTCTTTTGACTGGGGTAGGCTGAGATCTGGGGGAGAAGTGTATTAGAGCTTCATGACTGGGGGCTCCACCTGAAAGGACAGGCAAACCCCAATAGACATCAAGCACACACTCACTACACACACGTTTACTAATCACAGAACACCGTCAGAGATAGTAAGGGGGAAACCACTGCATATGGCCCGGGGGGAACTCCCTTTTTAATGGATAAGAGAAGACAGACACACATTTGTAGATACACGTGCACACCAATATACAGATACACTATCCTCAGCTGGGTTTATCTTTTAGACTGAAAAGAAATGGTAGATGGTAGTGATATTTGCGTTATAATAGAATTCGTGTTCAGCATGATGTTTGGCCCCAGATAAATCCTCAGTAAGTATTTATTGAATGAATTTGATGAATAAATGATTAGTGAAAGAAAACTATTTGACCTCAAGCTCTGGGCTCTGCCTAGTTTTCCAGGAATCAGGAGAGTGGAGGGGAGAGAAGGAGAAAGGAGGAATATAATGGTATATGGAGTCATCAGATCACAGCCTTAGAAGTATAGCCTGGAGGCAGGAGTGGGAAGTAGAGGAGAAGAGTGAACAATTAGGAAACTAAGAATCAAGAGATTGGGGTTCTTTACCTTGTTCTGCTTCTAACTTGCTGTGTGACTTTAAGCTACCCTCTTATAAGCTTCAGTTTCCCTACCAGTAAAATGATGGCTTGGACTAGACAATTTTTAGGGGCAGACCAGCTTTGATATTCTCATAGTGTAATCTCAACAAGGACAGTTGAGGATTGGAAGGGACAAGAGGTATAAAGTGTGATTTGTCCCAGTATTTCAAGAGGGGATCAGTTTGTCCTACTAGACTCAGGATGATAGATGACATTGATCTGGGGATTGGTTTATGAATATTGACCCCTCCACTGTCAGGATTTAGGGGAGCTGGATGCCCAGGGTCATCACTTCTGCCATAGTGAGTCCAGATGGAATAGCAAGCAATACAAGGTTTGGAGCCTGATCGATCTGGACTCAGTTTCCTCCTCTGTTTCTTAAGCTCTGTAATCTTCCCTAGGCCCTTTAACTTCTTTGATCCTTGGGGCTTCCTCATCTGTACATTGGGAATGTTAATAATTACTTTGCTGCATGCTCATGAGAATTAGAGATACTCGTGTAAAGCACCTGGATCCTAGTAGGTGCTCAATAAATGCTGGCTACGATGAGGATGCAGATTAATGATGCTGCTCGGGGTACAAAATGGATCTCCAACTATAAATGAGGCTTAAGAAGAAGAAATTGGAGGTGGACACTTGTGGGGGTAATCTATTTAGCTTTTTGAGGGAGAGGCAGAGGAGTAGAAGTTGCCCAAGTCTTGGGTAGATCTCACTTTTTGTGGGACACATGACAAGAATATGAGCAATGAGTTGTGGTGACCTTGGTGATCATGTGAACGTTAGTCCATGACCATCATTAAGTAGAAAAACATCTAGCAAGTGGAAAACAGAAAGGGCTGGAAGCAGAGGAGGGCAAATAGAGGGATATCTGAAAGGAATGGAGTGATGGTAACCTGAGTGAAAGACGGAAATGTAGGCAAGGCAGGAAATCAGAATGACTGAGTTCTTCCAGAGTCAACTTCACTATAGTTGAATTTCATGCTGACAAGCTGCAGGCAGATGAAGGGTCTTTGTTCTTGGGAACTCCAGGTGGCTGTGGGTCTGATTGGGGCATGGTAGGGTAAAAGGGAGTCTAGGGGGGAAATAAGGTGGGTATCTGCCATCCTAGGGCTGTATACCCTTTCAGATGGAAGGGTCTGGGAACATAAGGCAATGTGGCACCTATGAACAGGAGGAGGACTCAGTCTTCACCAGCCCAGAGCCAGACACCTGTGCAGGCAGGAGACTCTGCAGCAGGCATCTGGAAGGAGAAGCAGGAATGCACCAATGCACCAATGCAGAGAGGTCAATCAGCCATAACCCAGGAGGCAGAGTCCGGAGTCAGGGGCTCTCTTCTGGACTGATGAGTCCTGCTCTGTTGGACAGGTGGCTATGAACTGGGATACAAATTCAACTATCCAGGATTTGCAGGCAGAGTGGGGGCAGATAAAATTGTGTTGAGAAAGGGAATTACCAATTTAGCTGTGGCCACAAAGATACAAAGATCCAGAGCACTTAGGACCCCAGGTGCTGGGAAGAAAATCCTGACTGATCAGAAATCTCAGTTCCCACTGCGGGGCTAGTTGCTTCCTGGCTTCCAATCACCTGTTCTTCATCCAGCGGGGTGGCTGCTCTTATTACTTTTCACTCAGAAGGAAACTGAAGCTTAGAGTCACCTGACCTGTTAGGGTCATTTAAACAAGTGCAGAGCTGGGACTAGAATTCAAGTCTGTCAACATCTAGTCCAAAGATCTTTGTGAATATACTCTAATACAACCAAAATTTGCTGGGAACTGAGTAATTTAAGAATTATAACAAGACTGTCTTCTGGATGGGAGTGGGGAAAAATCATAACAAGGATATCTTTCATTTACTCAGTGCTTACCAAGGGCCCCATGGGCTGAGTATTTTTAGGTACGTCAATTCCTTTAAGCCCCAGGAAAGTCTACCAACTTGTACCCAGGTTGTCCAAATAAGGGAATTGAGTCTTAGAAGAGAGGAAAATGCACAGATGAATTATACATTGACTCTTGATAATCACACACACCCCTATTGATTTTTTGTGTGGTTTGTGGACTCAGTTTAGCAGTTTTATTTTATTTTTTTTAAGACAGAGTCTCACTTTGTGAACACAGTAGAGTGCAATGGCATCATAGCTCATAGCAACCTCAAACTCTTGGACTCAAGCGATTCTCTTGCCTCAGCCTCCCAAGTAGCTGGGACTATAGGCATCTGCCACAGCGCCCAGCTATTTTTAGAGATGGGGTGTCGCTCTGGCTCAGGCTGGTCTTGAACCTGTGAGCTCAGGCAGTCCACCTGCCTTGGCCTCCCAGAGATTACAGATGAGTTTAGCAGTTTTAAAATCATGCCTAGGCCAGGTGCGGTGGCTCACTTGAGCCCAAGAATTTGAAGTTGATGTGAACTATGACATGATGGCACTCTACTCAGGTGGACAGAGTGAGACTCTGTCTCAAAAATAAATAAAGTCATACTCAGAGTGTGTACCAAGCTGGAACGCAAGACAGGTAAACTAATGGGGTGTGGGATAGCAGGCATAAAGATGAGATTAACTCAGCTCAAATTCCATTTCAGTTGTACCAATCCACTGTAAAGACAAAAATGAAATTTTAAACTGCCAATGGCAAAGAGCAGAGAGGAAGCCAAAGCCCAGGAGGACAGAAATAGGGAAATTGATCTGAATTCCTCCGCAAAAAAAAGGGCCATCTCCAGAGGTCAATGTGCTGGCAGGGGAAGATGCCCACAGGGAAGGAACCACCAGGCAACCTCAGTGCCAAGGCCAGCAGAGGGTGCCGAGTGGGGAAAATTCCCCATTGACAGCGGTTGGCCAGTCTCAGAGATATGGACTGACGCGGATCTTGACAGTTTATAAGTGAGCACTGTAAATGCCCTGAAATGTTACCAGAATGTTGCATTGTGTATGTGCATTTGTTTTTCTCAAAGGAATCCATGACCGTTCTCCAACATTAAGAACCTTGGGCTGAAATATTCAGGTGAGAATTGGAAAGGAGTAGTGGCAAGGAGTACTTCAATTCTTTCAAGAAGTGTCCCTTCTCAGGGCCATTCAGGGGCCTGCCCAGGCTTCAGAACTGGGTATGCCGGGGTGAGGGTGTCGGGCGTAGGCTGAGCAGCTCCACGAGCAGCTCCTGGGCCGAGAGAAAGAGGGTAGGGAGAGGCGGATTTGAGAACTGGATTTAGGAGGCACTGGGGTTGCTATCTAAGGGGAGGTGTAATGAGAGCTACGGGGGCCTGGGAGACGAGCGAGCGGGGTCAAGCAGAGACCGAGGATGGGGGCCATTGAGGGTAGGGAGGAAAGGAGATGGTCATCCAGAAAGGTCAGAGAGGGAGAACTGGAAAGGGAGAGGGGAAAGGACGGGGGAGAATGGTTGGTGGAGAGAAACGGTGGGAGGGGGTGAAGGAGGGCAACCAAAACAAATTTCTCTGGAGGTGGACTAGACACATACCAGGAGCTCAATTCTATTTCGTTCTTTCCCTTTAGTTCCTGATCAGAGCTGCTCCGCCAGGGCGGGTGGGAGAGAGCTGTCTAGGCAACCTAAGAGTTGCCAACTAAAGGTGGCTCAGTATCACCTCTAGGACCCGTCCCCTCCTCCATTCCCTCAGGGTCTAAGTCCTACGTCCCCCGCTACACCCAGCCAGCTCAAGTGCAGTTTTCTACACCATGGGGCGTCTCAGACCCTGGCAATCACTGGGCCCGGACCCCTAGCACAGGAGTGGAAGGGACAAGAGAAGAGCAAAGGAGTGGACGGAATACGGCCTAGTTAGCCATCCCTTCTCCACCCCACCCCCCTCGCCGGGCTGGGCCTCCGGTCCCGCAGAGCTTTCAAGGGTTAAAGGCGGCCGCAGGTGAGATGGGCGGGGCCGTGAGTTCGGGGAAAAAGGAGCGCTGAGCAGAGGATGAAGGCAGAGAGCGCGGTGAGTCACGGGCGTAGCTGGCCTCGCTTGCTCGCTCGCTGGCTGGCTGGCTCCCGCCTGCCCTCCGCCCTCTTGCCGGCTCCCACAGCCTCCTCCGCGGCTGCCCGCCGCCGGGTCTGGATCGCCCTGGGCTCCTGCCCTTCGTCGCTGGATAGCTAGCGCTCAGGGCCGATGAGCGCCTGTCTGTAGCGCACCAGCCCTCAGCGCCCGGAGCCGGAGCGCAACTTCCAGGTAGGAGCCCGGGTCCGGGGAGCCCCGGGTGCGCGCTATGGAGATACTGTCGGAGAAACGCGCCCAGAACGAACAGCAGCCTCAGGTGGCCTTGGGAGGGGGGTGGTTCTAAAGGATCCAAGGGCTTTAGAGCCCCGACAAAGGGAAAACCAGGCGAACGGGAGAGACTGGAGGGACCAAGGAGGCCGGAAACTGGGGAAACTGGAGCGACTGGGACAACCGGAGGACTGGAACCTTGAGAATTGGGAGTACAGAAGTCCCAACCACCTGAGTGCCAGTGGTGTGGAAAGGCAGCGGTAGAAAGGGTGTCTGTACTCGCCTTCCTGCGTTGAGGAGAGGGAAGCCTTCGGCGTGCGCCCCGCTCTCTCCTTTCCCGAAACCTTGGTAGCAAGACATTGCATCCCAGGCTTGGGCTCTCTAGTTTTGGAGTGGCCACTCTGGAGTCTGGGTCGTGCTAGCCTCCCCACCCCCACCCCCTGGGGCAGTTCCCAGGCGCCAAAGTTATTAGGGTCCCGAGCCTCGCTGCTCCCGCCCAGCCCCTCCCGGGCTGCCCCGCCCCGGCCCGAGGCTCCATTCCTGCCGCTTCACCCTGTTCCTTTCTTGTGGTGAGGCCGCTTGAGCGGAGCAGGCGCCCCAGTCCTCCTCTCTCTTCGTCTCCCAGACTACCAGTGCCACCTCCCTGGTCCTAGAGTCAGGAGGTGGTAGGGTCAGCTGAACCCTGCTTTGGGTAGGAAAAGACCCTGACCTGAATCACTGGCCTTCTCCCCCATCATCAGAGGAGGCTCAGGGACACAAACTCACCCTCGGGACACGCCCCAGGGTTCCCAGGCATTAAGAAGAGGTGGTGAGAAGAATATATTCTGAGAAGAATATATGGTGGAGAAAGAGGTGGGTGTATTTAGGTACCTAATGGTTTAGGGAAAGAGACTAGGACCAGGCGTTAGGAGACTTGGTTCAAGGAGGCACTATGCAGCACATTATTCGTTGAGTGAATAAAACGGACATCCTTGTTCAAGTCATTGCTCCAAATTCAGCTTGTTTCCTCTTTAGAATAAGAAGGTTAGCCTGGAGCAGTGGTTCTCAACAATTGGCTGCATATTAAAATCACAGCAACTATTGGGGGGGGAAGTTTCTAAAAATTACACACGCCTGGGATGTATCCCCTTATATAATCTCTTTGGACGATTCTTCTTAAGTTCTGTAATTATGGCTTCTCTTGTTGCCCTCCTCTTCCCCCACTCCGACCCTGCATCCATTAAGGGGGTGGCAATTGTATCTTTTTTAGCTTGCTGGCAAGCTCTTCTTTGGCTTCCCACCTTTCTAGCTTCATATCTAGGTTTCCTTATCATGGAGAAGGGCATGGGTAGCAACCCGAGAGTTGGCCCGCACTGGTGTGGGTCAGGAGAGAGAAGGGGACTTGGCTTTCCCTGGTAGGGGGAACTCCCTCAGAAACTGGCATTGCAGCTGCACCCCAGGGAGGTGAAGTCCCTGCCTGAGGGAAAGGGGTGGGGGCCATGCGTGGGAGTGGGTTTAGTGAGGCCGATGTAATCAGGCCAGGCAGGGAGCTGGGGGGAGTAGGGAAGAGGGGTGAAATGATTTTCCTCTCTGGAGGTGCCTCAAGTGATTGTATGAGAACTCTTTCTCCAAAAACTCAGGACCTGCCTTGGGCTTCTGAAGGGCAGGTCATCTCAAGCTTTGGATTTTAAAAACAGACCATCCCCTCCTCCTGTCCATATCTGTATCCAGCGTTAAGGTGGGGTCCTGAGATGGGTCTAGTAGAGCATCCATTTGGGCTGGTGGCAGGTATGCAAGAGAAAAGGCCTCTGCCCCTTGTGCTGGCCTGGACAGCTGGGCTGGAGATAGTTCTAGCATTGCATTGTAGAGGTATCTGATTTACCAGCCTAGAAGCAGCCCAATTCTAGGGATGACCTGGGTTTTTTTTTTTTTTGAAACAGAGTCTCAAGCTGTTGCCCTGGGTAGAGTGCTATGGCATCACAGCTCACAGCAACCTCAAACTCTTGGGTTCAAGCGATTCTCTTGCCTCAGCTTCCCAAGTAGCTGGCACTGCAGGCGCCTGCCACAACGTCCAGCTACTTTTTTTGGTTGTAGTTGTCATTGTTGTTTGGCAGGCCTGGGCTGGATTCGAACCCTCCAGCTCCGTTGTATGTGGTTGGTGCCCTAACCGCTTGAGCTACAGGCGCTGAGCTGAAGACCTGGGTCTTATGGGAGGGATCACCAGATAAATGTCGGCCTCCATCATCCTCAGCCTTCCTAGCACTCCCAAATTCTCTATAGTCCCCACCCAGAGGTACATCTCTGGGAGCCAGACAGGAGGGGATCTGGGTTAGGAGGGAAAGTGAGCTGATTACTTTCCTTACTTCTCTTCTTTGCCTCCTTTAGGTACCATCTGAGGTGCCCCTGACCGTCCCTGTCCCCCACCCCGGATCCCGGCAATGCTAACCGCTGTCTGCGGCTCTCTGGGCAGCCAGCACACGGACGCGCCTCACGCCTCCCCACCGCGGCTTGACCTGCAGCCTCTCCAAACATACCAGGGCCATACCAGCCCGGAGGCCGGGGACTACCCCTCCCCGCTGCAGCCTGGAGAGCTGCAGAGCCTCCCGCTGGGCCCGGAGGTGGATTTCTCACAGGGCTATGAGCTGCCTGGGGCATCCTCGCGGATAACCTGCGAGGACCTGGAAAGCGACAGTCCCTTGGCCCCGGGACCCTTTTCCAAGCTCCTGCAGCCGGACATGTCACACCATTACGAATCATGGTTCCGGCCAACTCACACTGGCACCGAGGATGGCTCGTGGTGGGACCTTCATCCGGGCACCAGCTGGATGGATCTCCCACACACGCAGAGCACGCTAACTTCACCTGGCCACCCGGGGGCGCTTCAGGCTGGCTTGGGGGGCTACGTCGGAGACCACCAGCTTTGTGCCCCGCCTCCCCACCCGCATCCTCATCACCTCCTCCCACCCACCGGAGGGCAACATCTTCTGGGGCCGCCCGACGGGGCTAAGGCCTTGGAAGCGGCCGCCTCGGAGTCGCAAGGGCTGGATTCAAGTCTGGACACGGCGGCCCGGCCAAAAGGCTCCCGGCGGTCAGTGCCCCGCAGCTCAGGCCAGACCGTATGTCGCTGCCCCAATTGTCTGGAGGCGGAGCGACTGGGGGCTCCGTGTGGGCCGGATGGGGGCAAGAAGAAGCATTTGCACAACTGCCACATCCCGGGATGCGGGAAAGCCTATGCCAAGACATCGCACCTGAAGGCACATCTGCGCTGGCACAGCGGCGACCGTCCCTTCGTCTGCAACTGGCTCTTCTGCGGCAAGCGCTTCACGCGCTCGGATGAGCTGCAGCGCCACCTCCAGACCCACACCGGCACCAAGAAGTTCCCCTGTGGAGTCTGCAGCCGGGTCTTCATGCGCAGCGACCACCTGGCCAAGCACATGAAAACCCACGAGGGCGCCAAAGAGGAGGCTGCCGGGTCGGCCCCGGGCGAGGGAAAGGCCAGCTGCGCAGTGGAGCCCCCGGGGGGCAAAGGCAAACGGGAGCCCGAGGGCAGTGTGGCTCCCTCCAACTGAGCTGCTCGCGCCGCCTCCCTGCTGACCTGGGGGCACTGGGTTAGGGCCCCCAGGTCTGACATCCTTGGGGGACGACTTGAGTAAAAGGGGAAGGTGGTTATTTATTAAGGAGAGGGGAAATGGTGCGGGGAGAGGGAGAGGAGGCGCTAGGGGGTGGTTTAGTCTTCTGGGGCTGCACAGAACGCGTTTGGCTGTTTGGGCCGGGAACGGCTGCGTGTGCCCCTCAGTTCTCCCCTTCCTCACTATTTCACTTGCCCCTGGGCTGGGGGATTAGGGTAGATTGCCCCCACTGGAGCTGGAGGGTGGAGGGGACAGGCTAGAGGAGCGGAGAGGAGTGGGGCCGGTCGGGGCGCTGGGGGTGGCTGTCTGGACACGTCCCTAGCCCTGGGAACCGGAACATAAAAGCGCCTCAGGAGCCGCCCTGTGGCCCAGGTCTCTTTCATCCCCCATAAAATGCTTCTGCCCCTAGGGCTTCCGGAGGGAGCTGAGAGCGGTGCGGAAGGCTGGGGGTCCCCCTTGGCGGGGGTGTCTGTATCTGGCTTGGAAAGTTGTTGCTGTAAAAATAATTCCTTTGATGCACCTCCTTATTAACCCTTTCTGACCCAGTCTGATGGAGCCATGAAGGAAGAGGGGAAAAGGACTGGAATCTCTGACAGTGTCACAGCCAGGGCTATGGGGTGGAGGGCAGAGTTAGTTGTGTTTGTGTGTTGGGGGTAAGTGGGGAAGTCTCCTGCTAAAAGGAAAGAAACCGATTTGATGGGAGAATGGAAAGAACAAACTAGCCCCTTCTGTTTCCAATTCTGATTCAGTTCTTAACTCCTGGTCTTTATAAAAAAAATAAAGTCCAGTAGCCCACAGTCCACATCTATTACCCTAGGTAGGTTTTCAAGGCAGCCAGAAGCCCCAGCTGTAGATTTTGTTTTTTCTTTTTTAGACAGAGTCTCACTTTGTCACCCTTGGTAGAGTGCTGTGGAGTCACAGCCCACTGCAACCTCAAACTCTTGGGCTTAAGACATTCTCTTGCCTCAGCCTCCCAAGTAGCTGTGACTACAGGTGCCTGCCACAACAGATGGTTATTTTTTTAGAGATGAAGGCTCAGTCTGGCTCACACTGGTCTCAAACTCATGAACTCAGGCAATCCACTTGCCTTGGCCTCTCAAAGTGTTAGGATTACAGGCATGAGCCGCCACGCGGGGCCCAGCTGTAGAGTTGATGTAGTCCCTTACCCTGTGTTCCCATCAGTTGCCTTTCCTTTGGGGATGGAAGGAAGAGGGTTATTTGTGATGGGGAGGGGTGGGGGGTAGATTGGGTGTGTCCCAACAGAGGGACCTCCAGCAGTTCTGACTGAGAGTGGAGGACTCTACCCCCTCCTTGGGCATCTCCTGGCCATCACTCCTACTTCAGTATGGTCCTTGCCTTTGCCTCACACCCACAAGCCTTGCCCCTGTGGTAGAGGCTCCTTCCTCTCCATCTCGCAGTGGTTCTCAACCTTCCTAATGCCCCGACCCTTTAATACAGTTCCTGTGGGTCACAACCCACAAGTTGAGAACCGCTGTATAGGGGAAGCTTCCCCTTCCATATGAAGGAGTTGTTCTCCCACTGGAAGGGGTTCTGCCTTCCAAGGTGACATCAGGAAGCTGTCCCCCTTCTCCTTTAGATGCTAGAAATACATATTGATTAATGATCATGAGGTTGGGAGGGAGGGACAGAGGAGGGGAGAAGCCCAGTGGGGGTGACTGGCTGTGATTTCTTTCCGCCCTCCCTGGAGCCAGGCAGAGGGGAAAGAAGTGGATGTGAGAAAGTCTGGTAGGCCACCGGCCCCTGGATTTGGGGGGGTGCTTTCCCAGGCTCAAGGGGGAGGCCTCTGATCCCTCTCCCTCTCCTTATTCCCTTCACTCAGAGCCCTCTGCAGGGATTATCTGTGTATTGATTTTTAAGTTATAAACAAAAGGGTATTTTATTTAATATTAGGTCATGTATGTGTGCGTGTTGTGTGTACCTGTGTGTGTATGTTTCTCTACTGAGCCTGGGGTCTCCAGCCAGGGAGACCCCATCTTGTTCACCCTGTCCAAGGTCCTGGGGCCTAGGCCCACAGCATCTCTTCCTCCTCGGGGATGCTGGAGCCCAGTCCAAGTTCTAGGAGCTGCAAGGGAAGCCAGGGCTGGGATCTGGATGGGAATATGTGTTGGTGTAGAAAGGGGCCCTCCTTAAAAGGGACAGGGGTGACTTTCCCTGAGGGACTCATTAACCTGGGGTATTTTAAGAGGTAATGTTCTTTCTTTAGTCTCCCTCTCTTCCCTACTTCCTGTTAACCCAGCTATAGGTTACTGAGAGGGTGGGGGGGCAGGAGGAGAGTTGACAATGCCTGCAGGTTGACTGGCCAGGTGGAGGGGGGCAGAGAGGGAGAGCACTGTGGGTGTGGGATGCCTTTCTCCTCCACCCATCGAAACCAGCCACCCCCTCCTGGTGCCACTAAGACACTCTTTTCCAGTGGCCATTTTGTGGGGAACTCCCAAGTGGGTATTGGTGGTGGGAGGACATGGATATTCCCCCCATAAAAGCCCCAAGCTCTAAGGTATGCATTGGGGGCTTTGGATAGATTTTCTTCTGATCCCCTCTCTTATAGGTCTAGGTTGCTTGGCTGCCTGCCTTTCTAGGCAGCCCCCCTAGAGGAAAATGTAGGAATTTTTTTTTTTCTTTAACTGCTGTGAACCCACTTTGGGGGGTAGGAGGAGGAGGAAGAAACAGCCTGTGTTTTATATGCAATAATAAAGTCATCAACCACATTGTGCTTCATTTGTGTTCCAGCTCTGTTTCCTTTTTAACTCAGTGCCCCTGAGCAGTGAGGACCAGGTCTGGGCTGCAGAGTGGGGCAGACACTTCAGTGCTGCAGTCCTTGGGAATCCTCACCTCCATGGGTTTGGAGAGCTGGGGCCCAGGGTCTGACCCTTCCCAGAGGTGGTTGCTACAGAGGTGGGGGGATGTTTCCTTTAGATTGATGGCTGGGCTGTCCTTTCCTGGTCTTCACCTGTGGGGATGAGAAGGTTCTCCCTCCTCCACATTTAAGCCCCTTCTGTCCCCTCTTCTGCTAAAAACACTGGTTCCCTCCCTTAGCCTCTTGGCTCCCTCACCCCACCCCGTGGGGGTGTGCATGTCAGTCCGTCCCTTTGGTGGGGGTGACTGGCTGTGATTTCTTCACCCAGGATGATCCTTATCAGGGACAAGGCGATGAAAGGCATCAGAGATATCTGATGGGCTCCCGCCCAGCTGGAAAGTATGAGGGAAAGGCTCCTGCTACAACTCACAGCTAGAGACCTGCCACAGTTACACAACCACTGTGGTGTGCACACACATACCCCCACCGGACCATCGTGTGTCCGCCCTCAGAGAAATGCAGAAATACCCATCTGTACACATTTTCCCAGGCCTCCCAATGCCTGCCACATCGTTGGTGCCTAATTCATAAAAATCTCACGACTCCAGAGCTTCAAAGCTAAGACATTTAATAGAGGATCAGTTTGGGGCTCCAAAGGAGCAGGGGAGGATTATTGTATTCTTTCACCTTCCTGTTCTACCTTTTTTGCCAAAATTATTATTTTCCCCTCATGGGAAATTCTTCCCCCCAATTTTTCGAAGCCAAATCTGGTGTTCAGGTTGGCCTATCCAATTGCTTTTTGGGGAGATTCTGGGGTCGCAAAGTTTAAGTGCAGCTTGCGATGAGGGCAGAAAAATAATTTAGGGCTCTATAGAGGAATCCAGCCTGGTTTGAGAGCCAATTGTTTGTTTCCATTTGCTCCTGAATTTAGAAGGCTGGGAGGAGGAGGAGAGACAACTGTGTGTTTTCCAGGGATCTCTTTCCTGCCCCACTCCTGCAGGTGCTTCTTTTGTCTTTTTGGTTCTGGGATAGTTAGACCCCAGGAACCTGTCGTGAGCCCTCCTCTTCTCCCCCATGGCTGCCCCAGGGACAGGAGGGCAGCTGTGGGTCTGGCTGGGCCTGTCTGGGCAGGGCTGGGGCCACCCCTCCTCCCCTTTCAGCTCCTCCCTCCCGCTGACCTGCATTCTTAGCGGGGGCCTTTGGTGGGGCTCTGACGCTTGCTTCCTTGCTTGCAATGCTGCCTGGCTGGCCTGGTCCCCCTGACAGAGCCCAAGGCTACTTCTGACCCCTCAGATGTGGCGCCCAGGCAGGAAGATCTGGAGGGAAATCAGGGCTGGCTCTCTGGGTGACCTCTCTGACTATCTCCTTTCCTGGGAAGTGGGAAGAAGAATCCCTCTGGGGTGGCAGAATGAAATAAGAAATGGGAATATGACCGAAAAAGGCAGCCTAGGAGCTGCTGCCGGGGGCAGCCTCTCCACGCCTCTCCACACCTCTCCTCCTGCCTATGCCTGCCCCACAGTGGGCAATCGGAGAAGTGCAGGAGTGAACCACCTTTCCTGCAGGCTGCTTTGCATGCCCATGTTTGCTGGCACACACACATAGCCATGACGTTTGCTTCTGGAATGACATCCAAGGGCAACCTCCCAACCCCTCCTGACACTGCACCAGAAGAGGTATTCGTCTCCCCCGATGTGCCTGATTACTTAGCCTCTTAGCAGTGTAGGTTTGAAAGAATCCTTGAAACCAAACTCCTCCAACAAACTGTTACAACTAGTAAGCACAGGATACAAAGTCAATGTATAAAAATCAGTAGCGTTCCTCTATACTAACAATGAACGACCTGAAAAAGAAATCAAGAAAACTATCCTATTTACAATAGCTACCAAAAAATATTTAAATAAATTTAACCAATGAAGCGAAAGATTTATACCCTGAAAATAGCAAGACATTGATGAAAAAAAAAATGAAGACACCCATAAATGGAATGACATTTTGTGCTCATAGATTAGAATTAGTATTGCCAAAATTTCCACACTACCCAAAGCAACCTGTAGATTCAATGCAATCTCCACAGAGCAAAAGAGATGCACTTGCTTAAATGCTGGTTATGGAGGAAAATGAATTGGAAACCAGAACGTTAGGGATCAGAGCCCATCTCCACAGCTGTGTGCCCCAATTCTAAATTGCCTTTCAAAGCTATCTTCCTGTGAGTTTAAGCACTGGGAGGCAGAACAGGCTTTATGGGATCAGATGAGTTTTGTGCATATGTTCCTTTAAAAAAAATGTATTAACTTAAGCTATCCCTAGGCCTTCTAGCTTGCCTTCACTCTGCTATACACATATGTATCTTGTTCCCCTGGCTGCTGCTACCCTGGGATTGTGTCTTTGAAATTCAAGCCAGGACTAAGAGAGTTGAGGGGTTTTTTTGTTTTTTTTTTTTTAGAGACAGAGTTTCTCTTTATTGCCCTTGGTAGAGTGCTGTAGCGTCACAGCTCACAGCAACCTCCAACTCCTGGGTTTAGGCGATTCTCTTGTCTCAGCCTCCCAAGTAGCTGAGACTACAGGTGCCCACTACAACGCCCGGCTATTTTTTTGTTGCAGTTTGGCTGGGGCCGGGTTTGAACCCTCCATCCTCGGTATATGGGGCCGGCGCCCTACTCACTGAGCCACAGGTTCTTTTTTTTTTTTTTTTTGAGACAGAGCCTCAAGCTGTCCCCCTGGGTAGAGTGCCGTGGCATCACAGCTCACAGCAACCTCCAACTCCTGGGCCCAAGCGACTCTCCTGCCTCTGCCTCCCAAGCAGCTGGGACCACAGGCGCCCGCCACAACGCCCGGCTATTTGTTGGTTGCAGCCGTCATTGTTGCTTGACGGGTCCGGGCTGGATTCGAACCCGCCACCCTAGGTGTACGTGGCTGGCGCCCTAGCCGGTTGAGCCACAGGCGCCGAGCTAGCCACAGGTTCTTTTTAAATCTCCAGATGCACTACCAATCTCTGCTCTCTGACAAATACTCTCTTTTCACTGGGGGCTTCCATTCCCAGCTGCAGCTCTGCACAGTGACCCCCACCAGATCAGCCCGCGGATTCATCCCAGCTTTTAACAGATCCGAAAGGGGCGTTGGGGTATAAGTGGCGCCAGCGCGCGCCCTGGTGGAAAACAGTGGAACTGCAAGTGCTCCGTTCCGGTTCCGCCCCCTAGGTCGAAGGTCTTCCAGGTCACCTGGGAACTTCTGCCCAGTGGGACGAATCTGACCTGAAACCGAGGAGGTAGCGCCCGGGGTCAAGCTGGGGGGTCTTGTGGGGAAAGAAAGTGAACAGTACTGGGGACGCGAGGAGTGGCAAGGGGCAGTTGTCTGGGCATGCGCAGAACCGTGGTACTCTTGGAGAGGGGTTGGATAGCAAAGGAGACAGTCGTAAGACGACTGCCCCAAGGGCCAGGACTCTTGAGTAGGGGCCGAACTCTCATAGCGTGCAATGTCTGCACCCGCCGGCCGACTCCCGAGCCTGGAGCTTGGGGACAGTGGATGCCTCCGTGTGTGCACTGCGTCCAGTGCTGAGCGTCCCGGAGCCGACGGCAGCCTCTTTCTTGCGTGTCTGTGTGCACGTGTTAGGGTAGAGAGCTCACCGCAGCTGAGCTGGGATCGTGGCGAGATGGCGAGAGTCACTCCCCACCTCTCCACAGATGGCAGAGTCGAGCTCTGACGCCCCATGTTCCTGCGACTGCTTTGTCTCCTTGCCCCCGGCCTCCGCCATCCCAGCCGTGATCTTTGCCAAGAACTCAGACCGACCGCGGGACGAAGTTCAGGAGGTGGTGTTTGTACCAGCAGGCACGCATACCCCTGGGAGCCGACTCCAGGTGGGTTAGGCCTTATGGGATACTGGAAAAAGTGGCTGATCTAGGCATTCTTTTGAGAACTCTTTCCTCTTCTCCTCACCCGTGGGAGGCTGCCAGAGGTAGTGGAAAGAGGTTGTGCTTCACGTCTACCAACCCGGACCTTGAGCTGATTACTTAGCCTCTGTCCACCTCAATTTCCTCATCTGTAAAGTGGGAATAAGACCTTCCTCAAAAGGGCATGTAAGGTGATGGGCAAAGTGCCAGCATGTTGTAGGTACTACCCCCTTTCTGAGTGGACTCTTACTTTCTCCTCCCTTACCTGTAGTGCACCTACATTGAGGTGGAACAGGTGCCAAGTACGCATGCTGTGATTCTGAGCCGCCCTTCTTGGCTGTGGGGTGCTGAGATGGGTGCTAACGAGCATGGCGTCTGCATTGGCAACGAGGCTGTGTGGACCAAGGAGCCAGTTAGAGAGGAAGAAGCCCTGCTGGGCATGGACCTACTCAGGTGTGGACCCTCCCTCAACCCCCTGACACACTGGAAGTCTGGGGGCTGAAACTTTGGGGACCTCAGTTTCATCATCTGCAAAACGGGATGACCTGAGCTCATCTTCCCCTTCCCTAACCTGGTCCACTGGACTTCCTCCTCTTAGCTCTCACCTGGGAAACTGCCCTGCCTCTCCTCTTTCTGGGTTTCATCACCACAGTCTGATAAGGAGCCTCCAAATGCAGCAAACTTTGGGCCTCTTCTGTCTCAGAAATAGACCAGCAGTTGCAAATTTTTTCAATAGATGTAATTTTTTTCTTTTTTCATTTGAAACCTCATGTAAGCCAGGCACAGTGGCTCACACCTGTAATTCTAGCACTCTGGGAGGCCATGAAGGGAGGATCCCTCGAGCTCAGGTGTTCAAGACCAGCCTGAGTGAAAGTGAGACCCTGTCTCTACTAAAAATAGAAAAATTAGCCAGCCATGGTGGCTGGTGCATCTAGTTTCAACTATTCCAGAGACTGAAGCAGGAGGATCACTTGAGCTGAGGAGTTTGAGGTTGCTGTGAGCTAGGCTGACACCATGGCACTCTAGCCTGGGCAACAGAGTGAGATGAGAGACTCTGTCTCCAAAAAGAAAAAAAAAAAAAGGAAAAAAATCTCAATCTCATGTAGAGTCCTGATTTATGAAACTTATAATAGTGGTGTAGCTCTGATTAGAGAGGGGTTGAGGGCTCAGGGTACTTCCTTCTCTGAGACTGTATTCAGGCCTTTTCATGAGACCCTGAGAACATAGCTTGAAAACCACCAGCATAATTATGTTTAATACAATCAATGCTATAGAATTTGCTGTGTTATTTGAATCTGTCATTAAACCTCTCTGGGCCTCTTTTGTCCACTGGAGCACCTGCCACCAGCCACTTTATACCCCTGTCCCCCTCGGTCCCCTAACCCTTTCTTCACCAGGCTGGCTTTAGAACGGAGCAGCTCCTCCAAGGAAGCCTTGGGTGTGATCACAGACTTGCTGGAGCGCTATGGGCAAGGGGGTAGCTGCCGAGAAGACCCTGCACCATTCTGCTACCATAACACCTTCCTGCTGGCTGACCGCAATGAAGCATGGGTCCTGGAGACAGCTGGAAGGCTCTGGGCTGCACAGAAGATTGAGAGTGAGGGTCTGCCTACTGGAGGTGTTCCCCCTTTGCCAGCCTTGGGAGGTGGGAGAGATGGTCTTGACCCAGGAGCAAACCTTGGGACATCCAGGGAGATGGGAACTTTAGGAATTCACTTCCCCCTTCATCTAGATAAGTTCTCATCATGCTTCAGCCCTCCACTTCCTCTGGGAAGCCTTCCTGGACTTCTTTAAGTGGTCACATTTCTACTTTGTGTGTACTCACCATGGTTGCAAGCTTACATTTATTTATCTCTGTGATTATTTTGTCTGCCTCCCTCACCACACTGTAGGCTCCATAAGGGCAGGTTGTTCCTTCACCATCATGTTTCCAACTCCTAGCCCAGTGCCTGGCACAGAACAGCTGCTTAATGATAAATGAATGACTCCCCCCATCTCCCTCCACAGAGGGGGTCCGCAACATCTCCAACCAACTAAGCATTGGCACAGAAATCTCGGCTGAACACCCTGAGCTTCGGACCCATGCCCAGGCTGAGGGCTGGTGGCACGGCCAGGGCACCTTTGACTTTGCTCAGGTATTCTCCCTGACCCGGCAGCCTGTGCGCATGGAGGCTGCCAAGGCCCGATTCCGGGCTGGGCGGGAGCTGCTGCAGCAACAGTCAGGTCAGTGAGCAGTGCAGCTGCTCTCCCCTCTGGCAGCTTCCCCTCCTGTGGCCTCCCCTTCTACCCAGGGCCCACACCCTTCCCTCTCCACCAGGGGGTATTACAGCAGAAGTGATGATGGGCATCCTCAGGGACAAGAACAGTGGTATCTGTATGGACTCTGGAGGCTTCCGCACCACAGCCAGCATGGTGTCCATCCTGCCACAGGACCCCACACAGCCCTGTGTGCATTTCCTCACTGCCACACCAGACCCCTCCAGGTGACGTGGATGAGGGTGAGGAAGGCTGGGGAGGGTATACTGCAGGAGTGATGAGAGGATGTGATATACCTCAGCTCTTCCATCTGTGTCCCACTAGGTCAGTGTTCAAACCTTTTATCTTTGGGGTGGGGGTGGCCCAGGCCCCCCAGGTGCTGTCCCCTACTTTTGGAGCACAGGACCCTGTTCGGACCCTGCCTCGATTCCAGACTAAGGTAGATCGCCGGCACACCCTCTACTCTGGACACCAGGTGGCCCTGGGGCTGATGGAGAGTGATCAGGTAACCCTAGGAAATGTCACTATCCCTCCCCTACTCCAATGGGACTCTGGAAATATGAGGGGAGCTGGGAGTGGAGGCAAGACTCCAGAGCCAGAGAAGAGTCCCTCCCTTCAAAGCCAGCTGCCCAAGACAATGTTGGGTGGTCCCTGCTTTCTCCTGTGAGGTGATAGGTAGGCCCACTTCATTCTGAGGGAAGGCTGTCCTGGACAAACGTGTCCTGGTTTTTCCCTGCAGGAACGGGGGCAGCAGCTCCGGCAGAAACAGCAGGATCTGGAGCAGGAAGGCCTGGAGGCTGTTCAGGGGCTGCTGGTTGGCAAGCAGGCTCCAGCCCTCCAAGAACTGGGCTGCCTCTTCCAGACCTTTGTGGAGAGGGAGAGCCAGGTGTATGCCTAAGGACCTAGCTCCTCCAGGACCCTGGAGCAACTGCCCGGAGCTGGGCTAGTGGGATCAGAGCAATCCCATCATTCCCCTCAGCCTTGTTCTGAGTGACCAACTTGGTCTTTACTTTAATAAATGTGATTTATTTCCTTGTTTGGTAAACTGGATCCCAGATCCAGTGGGGGTGGGAGAGCCAAGTAAGGGCAAAAGGCAGCCCTGCGCAGGCTGTGGGGCCTGTGGTTGTCCTGCTGGGCAGCAAATTCTTTTTTATTTTATTTTATTTTGAGACAGAGCCTCAAGCTGTCCCCCTGGGTAGAGTGCTGTGGCATCTCAGCTCACAGCAACCTCCAACTCCTGGGCTCAAGAGATTCTCCTGCCTCCGCCTCCCCAGTAGCTGGGACCACAGGTGCCCGCCACAACGCCTGGCTTTTTTTTGGTTGCAGCCATCATTGTCGTTTGGCGGGCCTGGGCTGGATTTGAACCCACCACCTTAGGTGTATTGTGGCTGGCGCCTTAGCCACTTGAGCCACAGGCGCCGAGCCTGGGCAGCAAATTCTTATCCATTAGGTGACAGGGACTAGTCAGGAGGATGGGAAGGGTTTCCCTAGAGGTGTCTGCATGGAGATCATGCCCCACACAGTAGCTGTTTGGGGAAAGTTAGGACCACAGGTCTTTGGCTTAGACCTGGGAAGGACATTCTCTAGAGGTGGTAGTGAGATGCACCCACCATGAGATGGCATCCTCTGTCAGGAGCCAGGAAGCCTGCAAGCCAGCATGGGGCCTGAAGTGTGTCCCACCTTTGGGTAGTTCCTGAAAGATTAGAAACTTGGTCTATAGAATCATTTTCTGTTTTCTGGTGGTTTTATTGGTTGCTTTCCCTGAAATGCCCCCAAATGACACAAAAGGTGTATTCAAAGCCTAGAGACACTTTATTGGGGATGGGCTCCTGCCACAGTCTGAGAAGGAGGGCAGGCCCCACTCCACTCTACTTGTAGCACAGGCCAACAGAGAATCATTTCTTGATTCTCTTGCTTGTAGTTTTGGTTGTGTTGCGAACCCCAACCTGAGAAGCCTTGGGGGCTACAGCTGTTTGAGCCCCCTTCCTTGCCTGGACAGAGCTTTGCTGGCCCCTGAGAAGCAGAGTGCTTGGTTTCTTGGTGGGTGAGGAGGCCTGGGGTGAGGAGGCTTCCTCAGGGAGTGTCTCTTTCCTTTGCTTGGGAGTGACAGAAGGGCTGCTGTCCCCAGCCATGGGCACCCTAGGCAGCAGGGGCAGGTCTGTGAGTGTGGGCTGTGTCTCCATCCTCAGAAGGTGATCTGTCAGGGCTGCCTGCTGCCTGTGTGCCCGGTGCCTGCTCATCTCCTGCTCTATCTCATGGAGGAAGCCTATGAGGAGTGGGGCAGTGGGAGGGGACTCAGAGAGAAGTCTCTGGAGACTCCCTGCCATTCCTGGTCAGTAGGAGCCTGAGGCTGGGGCCCAGAGCTACACTGTTGGCCACCTCTTGCCCAGAGGCTGCTCTGATCATGGGCTCCCCTCCCCAGATACCACTGCCACCTTAGCTTTCCCTGTGCCCCACAGGACAGGGGTAGCTTCCAGGGAGGCTGCAAGCTCAGGGTCACCTTGCTCTGAGCAGAAGGGGCCACTCAGCTCTGGGAACTCCTCATCCTCATTGCCTGAGGGTTCATCTTCCTCGTCCGAGGCCCAGCGCTCCGGCACTGGCTGCCTGTCCAGATCTAGCAGCAGCGGCAGGGCTTCTTTCACTAGCTCCCTGCAGGACAGAAAGGACTGAGGCTACCCAGGAGGGCACCCCAGTGTGGAACCTGGGAGGAGCTAAAAACAAAGGCCACAGCACCCACCTGGGTGGTGATCTGGAGTTAGCTCCAGGGATCTGAGGGCTGGCTCTTGTGATACAGGGATTGGGAGGGGGGAGGTCCCATGGACAGTGACTTGGATCTGCAGACTGAGAGGGAGCCCACATGGATAGCAGGGGGGTGCTCAGCCATCACCTCTTTCCTCCCACTTTCTAGCCCTGCTCACCGGTAGCCATCCTGGTTAGTGCAGCTGTTTCCAGTCAGGTTGAGGATGAGAAGGCTCTGGGGAAACTCATCTGCCCATGCCAAGAGAGGGAGAATGGGGTTCTCATACCCATTTTCCCAGCCAAAGTGCTACCTCTCTGCCCAGCCTCCTGGAGCCCGTGAGGTTGAAGCTTGGACCTGCAAAGCTGTGACTAATGCAAGCTCAGGAGATGGGCACAGAGGATGGCAAGCCCCACATGGACATGTTCCTTGAGCCAGGGCAATGGCATTCTTACCCAGCTTAAGGGTTTCAATCAGGTTCTCAGAAAGGTCCAGAAACTGGAGGCACGGGAGGCCAATGAGGTTTTCCACCTGCCTGATTTGGTTTCCTGCCAGAGATAGAAAGCTGCAGGGGAAGGAAGGGGTATAGAGGCAGAGCTGAACCATAAAACAGCTGGAGGAAGAGATAAGGAAGGGTACCAGGCACCTGGGTCCCTTGGCTAGATGGCTGGGTGACATGTGGGGACACATGGACTTCTGGGGTGAGGGAAGCATAGCTAGGCTTGCTAGGTCCTCTGCTGACAAGGAATCAGGCTTGGAGAGATCTGAACCAGTTCTTTGGGGGGGTGTTGCTAGGCTCCCCATACCTCCTTCCCACCCCACTCCACCCCTGCCCCACCCACCCCTGCCAAGCCTTGACATCACATACCGCAAGGAGGGGACGCAAGCCAGGTTCTCAATTCGCTGGATCTTATTCTGCAGGAAGAAACCAAGCTGAGGTCAGCTGGGTAGACCTTTTAAGGCAGTAGTTCTCAACCTTCCTAATGCCGTGAATACAGTCTTTAAATACCCCTTTAATACAGTCCAAAGGGGTTGCAACCCACAGATCGAGAACCACTGCTTTAAGGCAACAAAGTTCCAAGACGCTATCTACTCTTGCAGCTGGAGATCTGGCACTTTGGGAATGATAACCCCCATCCTTGCACAGGATATCAATACATTAAGAAAGATGGTTTGCTTTTAAGTGGGATTAAGGGGGTAACTTGGAGCAGCTAAGTTGGTTAAAGTCTATGCTTCAGACCCCAAAACCAATGAATGGCCTGGGAATCAGAGAAGGAACCAAGAGACCACTAGGGAAATAGAAAAGGCCTTTGTGGTGGCTCGCATACAGAGAAAACAATGAGCATATTTTCATTTGGTTTGTAAAAGTTTCTGTGGGGAAAGTTTAAGGGAGCTGGGTATAGTCAACCTGACTATCAACCAGCCATCAACAACAGCCTTTAAGGATCTGAAGAGTGTAGAGGAGGGGTGTCCAACTTACAGTCTGCAGGCTGCAAGCTGATTTTGTGAGGACTTGTTTTGCTTATCTGTGGCGTTGAATATCACAAAAATACGTGTGGACTTTTTTTTTTTTTTTGCTAATCAGCTTTTGCTAGTGTTTGTGTTATTTAATGTGTGGCCCAAGACAATTCTTATTCGTCCAATGTGCATCATAGAAAGTAAGTTTGGATACCCCTGGGTAGAGGACCCTTCATAGTTCCCTCATCATCTTCCTCAAAGCAAGAAATGGGCTTAAGCTACATAACATGAAAAATTTGGGTAGACATCAAAAGCATCTAATAAGGAAAACCTTTTTTTTTTTTTTTTTTTTGGTTTTTGGCTGGAGCTGGGTTTGAACCCACCACCTCTGGTGTATGGGGCAGGTGCCTCAATCCTTTGAGCCACAGGCACTGCCCAAGAAAGACCATGTTTTAAGAGCATGTTCAGGATCTCTTTTGGGGAAGTCAGTCTTTCAATTCAGAAGAATTTGTGGTTTGCCTGGGAAAGGTTTAAATGAAGTTCTGCTTGCCTGAACACCAGGAATGGATAGGATGACCTGGTTGGCTCCTTTGGGATTAGATAGATTAGGTCCACAGGAAGGCAGGAAAAAGGAAAGGGAGAGGGGCAAGAAGTTACCGCTTGCAGATAGAGGCTGTGAAGATTCTGGAGGCCCTGTAGATTGCTGATAGTGGTAATCCCCTCCCGGTCTAGGCGGACAGTCTGTAGCTCAGCAAGAGTATGAAACCTGGGAGAAGAGTTGGCAGGGTGTTGTAATAAAATGCTTCTGTGGTCTCTTAGCTGGGAAGATGGTGGGAAGGTGTTTCAAGGAGGGATAGATAGGCCAGGCATGATACCCCTGCCTGCTACAATGCCTGGATAATCTTTCTTCCTACCTTCCTTCCTTCTCTCTCTCTCTCTCTCTCTCTCTCTTTTTCTTTCTTTTTTTTTCGAGACAGAGTCTCACTTTGTTGCCCTTGGTAGAATGCCATGGTGTCATAGTTCACAGCAACCTCAAACTCCTGGGCTCAAGTGATTCTCTTGCTCAACCTCCCAAGTAGCTGGGACTACAGGCACCCACCACAACACCCAGCTATATTTTTAGAGATGGGGTCTCGTTCTTGCTCAGGCTTGTCTTGAACCTATGAGCTCAGGCAGTCTACCTGCCTTGACCTCCCAGAGTGCTAGGATTACAGGC